CCACCCATTCCGCAACCTTTATGGCGTCCATTAGATGGATCCTACCATTCTTTCACTCGGCCCATGAGAGGCGTTTGAAGGGCATAGTGGGCCTGGGCAAAATGGGCTTTTGATGATCCCCAGCCTGTTTCATGGGCTGATGATCGACCCGTGGGGTAGTCCTCACATTTGGATAGGACAGCTTGCTGGCTCTACCTAGGTTGGCGATTTTCTCTTCTTGCAGGCGAGCCAATCCCACCGCAGCCATGACTATCGCCGGACGGAGAGCCCTCACCTCCAGGCGGATGTCCTCTCTGAGGCCTCCCACAAAACATCCCACTAAGGCCTTCTCCGGCCAGCCATGAACCCTGGTGGCCATTCTCTCGAACTCGAGCTGGTATTCTGCTACCGTCCCAGTCTGCTTCAACCGAGCGATGAGTTCGTCGTAGTCCACGAACACCGTCGGCCCAAAACGGATGCACAGAGCTTCAGTGAACTCTGCCCAAGTTACCTGAGGATGATTTTGACGATACCACTGGAGCCATAGAATCACGTCTCCTTCTAGGTGAATGGAAGCGATGGAGACACGCTGGTGTGCTGGTGTTTCGTGGTATTCGAAAAATCTTTCTGCTCTGAAGATCCAAGGAATGGGATCTCCACTGGAATAATTGGGAAAGTTGATCTTAGTGACTTTTTCGGTGGGGTAACACCCTGTTCTTTGGCTGCTGGAAGCAGAGGCTTCCGCCCCTACTGGGTGACTAGCCTCGCCGGATTGTAGCTGAGAGGCGAAGCTGGAGACAACCATTTTGAGTTCCCTGAGTTCGTTCAGCACCTGGTGAAATCCAACCTCAAGCTGGTCGACCCTATCATCCATGGTAGAGGAATGTGTCTGCGGCATCGTGAAGCCTGTGATCTTGATAGCCTGGTTTTGATACCAAATTGATGAGTTCCGCTCACCTTGGAAGCCCCTTCGAGGGTGGCTCAGCCTCCTGAAACAGAAGATGATGGGAGAGAAGAAGAGGGGAGGTAGGAAGAAGAAAGGATTCAKAGAGAGAAATAAAGAGATATTTATTCACACCCTTTTGTTATATGATTATGGCCTTATATAGCTGGCCTACAAGTGTAATCATGGAGGGAATATCCTCTGGTTGCAGAGTAACTAACTCTGGAAGATATCATGGAGAGAATATCCTCTGGTTGCAGAGTAACCAACTCTGGAAGGTTCTGAGTGTAACTAACCATGGGGCTCTGTCGCGTGTCCTTTCTGTCTCCTTGTGAACTGCTGATGGGTGGTGGTCTGCTCCACTCCCTTAGTTGGGTAAGGAGGGAGCGTTTGGGTCCCAATGCATTCATGGCATGTCGAGCAACGGATGGGATGCTAGATGTCTCCATAGGGCTATCTTGGCTGCTCCCTGGAAGGCCATCCATGATGTGCTCCCTACGTTCCTTAATTTTATCAGGTATGATTTGTCTTCTGGTAGTAAAATCAGATTCTGGGAGGATTTGTGGATTGGGGATACTCCTCTAGGGGAGAAATTTCTTTCTCTTTGTGATCTGTCTAGTTTCAAGGGTAAGCCTATTTCCGATTTCCTAAACCATCATTCTCACCTTCCAGGATTGAATTGGAACCTTGGATTTAATGGGAATCTTAGAGAGTCTGAACTGCTTGCAGTATCCGAGTTGTTATGATTGCTGAATTCAGTTTTCTTGGGGGAGGCTGGGTCAGATTCTAGAATTTAGGGTCCTTATTCTGATGGATCTTTTTCTTGTAAATACTTTCTACATTCGATGGTTGCCACACAGTCTTCTCTTCAGTTTCCAATCAAAGAAATTTGGTGCCCTCCTATTCCCCCTAAAATCAGTGCTTTTTGTTGGGAAGTCTTTCATGGTTGTATTAATACCTTTGATGTACTTCAAAGGAAAAAACCAAATTGGTGCTTGTCCCCTAATTGGTGTGTCCTTTGTAAGTTGAGTGGTGAGACTGTTTTCCACCTTTTTTTATCATGTTACTTCCCTTTTTGGGTGCAGGTGGTCCTCTCCTGACAGGGTGAAATGTTTATTCAACCCTAATGGTTTTAGCGGTAAGACGAGGAGGGGAAGGATTCTTTGGAAGTGCACTAGAGCAGCAATACTTTGGACCATTTGGGAGGAAAGAAATGATAGAATATTTGAATGTAAAGAAAAATGCAAGGAAGCTTTGGTTGAAACAATAACATTGAGGGTGGCACGTTGGTAAAAAGCTTAAAGCTGTTTTCAAATTTTAAAGTTGAAGACTTATTCAGGGTTTGGGAACTTATTGCTGCTTCATCGTCTATGAGGCGACAAGTGTGTGAGACCTGGTCCCCTCCAACAGAGGGTTGGAAGAAGCTGAACTTTGATGGGAGTTGTGTGGGTAACCCAGGCCCCTCAGGTATTGGGGGGGCATTAGAAATGAAAATGGTTCCATTATTGCTCTGTTGTCCGGTCCTGTGGAGGAGGGTGATGTGGCTAGGGCAGAGCTTCTAGCTGCAGTATATGGGGTTGAGAAGGCCAAAGAGTTGGGGATTAATAGACTGATCATCGAGGGAGACTCAAAAACTGTGATAAAATGGTTGCAGAAAGGGGAGGGAGTGACCTGGCAGCTGAAGAATGATTTCCGAAGGTTCAAATGGATGTCAAGGAATATGTCAATTCAGGTGGGTTGGGTTAGGAGATCGGCCAACAGTTTGGCTGATAGCTTAGCAAAGCAAGGGGTTCAAAGGACAGATATGTTTTGGGCACATTTGTAATTCTGTCCTGGGTCAGCTTCTATGCTGATATCTTTGCAACTTGTTGTATCCTAAAGCATCTTAATTAATGAAAAATTTCAGAGTTATTGATAAAAAAAAGAAAATTTCACTTGTTGTTTCATTTTGTTAAAAAACCTGTACAAAATAAAAAGTCTCCCATTTGTATTTTCCTCCCTGCATGTAAAGCCCCTTCGACCATCTGAAAAAATGACTCAATTGCCTCCCTACCCACTAGGAAAACCACGTCCCTTTGCAATTCTCTAATCTTCAAAGTAGTTCTCCCTTTGAATCTGTATCTCTCAAAGACGGAAACTTTAGATTTGACTTTCAAGACTCTACTCCACACTGCCATCATGAACTTTGGTGGGAACCCTTTGGTGTCAGCTACATGAATTCAGGAGGTCCCACCAAACAATTATCCTGTTTGTCTTATCTAGTGCACAATAAGGTCATCTTGAACAGAATCATGCTTCATGCAATCTAATTCATTGGAATTAGTTTGTCTCTGTACATCTGAATCAGTTCCAAACATGCATAACAATATCCTCTGCAGAAGCTATTACTGTCAATGTTATTTATGACAGTTATCCTGTAATCTAGCCACTATCATTGGGTCATGAAGCAGGCAGCTTTTAAATTGGGGCTATTAAGAATTGGGTGGAATGAGAGAGAAATCATTTTAGGTTGTTTAAAAAATTTATTATGTGTTTGTTTGCTTATAATCTGTTAGTTCATTTGGTGGTTGCTTTGTTACCACCCTGTTGGCTTATTATATGAACTGTAGCAGTTGAAACTTGAGATTATTTATAAGCCAGCGTTTTGTTAGAATGTTTCTTTAAGAATTTTTTCTGATCTTTATATGTTAATTTGCTTCACTTGTCATAGCAAATGATGGTGCAACAATCTTGGAGCAAATGGATGTTGACAATCAAATAGCAAAGCTGATGGTTGAACTATCCAGGAGTCAGGACTATGAAATTGGGGATGGAACAACTGGAGTTGTTGTAATTGCTGGTGCACTTTTAGAGCAGGCTGAGAAACTATTAGAGTGTGGTATTCATCCTATCCGGATTGCAGAGGGCTATGAGATGGCTTCAAGGGTAGCTGTTGAACATTTAGAGCATATTTCTCAGAAGTTTGAATTTGGCACTACCAACATAGAACCCCTGGTTCAGACTTGCATGACTACTTTATCCTCGAAGATGCAAGTATCTCGAATCTTATTCTCTCTGGTATCTGCTTTGTTCCTTGTTGCAGAACCATCATGTGTAGTAAATTTGCTTACTTATTGTGTGTGTTGAGTCTAATGGAGTTTTTTTCTTTAGTTTAAGGTATCATTTGCATTGTTTATTTTCTTGAAATATCACATTAAATGCTTGTATGGCTATAGATACATTCTTGGGAATAGAAGGAGCACCATATCCTTTGAAAAGTTATTTTGTTGAATGCAGATGGTACAGAAATAACATGAAGATTTCTATACCATCTGCATATAATATATCATTTAAATTGAAGACTTGCTGGATTTTTTATTGGTCATTGAGACTTATCCTTTTATCGAGACTTCATTAGATACTTATCCTTTTTCACTTCTTATCCAAGGGTCACAAAATTTATATAAAAAAGAATTGGAGTACCTGCTATGGTGGGTGCACAGTGCACAATGTAAGAATTGATGCAATTGCTTGAACATATTAACAATTGCAACCTGCAATGCATAGATCAATGATGAATAGATCCCCTTTTTAGGTGAATAGATATAAGGTACAAGAACAATGAAGTTGGGAAATTTAACTGTGATTTTTATTATTAACATTCTGCCAGTGCTAACTATTAGCAGAATACATATCTTAATTCTGGTATTATTTAATAAGTTGAGAATGTTAGACTATTAATATTTTATTTAACTGAGTTGAATGATTCAACCTCATCTTGCAGTGTAAATCGATGTAAGCGTCCTTTAGCTGAGATTGCTGTTAAAGCAGTTCTGGCTGTTGCAGATTTAGAGAGGAAGGATGTTAACTTAGATTTGATTAAAGTAGAGGGAAAAGTAGGGGGGAAGTTGGAAGATACTGAGCTAGTTTACGGTATTGTTGTTGACAAGGATATGAGCCATCCACAGATGCCCAAGCAAATTGAAAATGCAAAAATAGCAATTTTGACTTGCCCATTTGAGCCACCCAAGCCCAAGACTAAGCATAAGGTTGACATTGACACAGTGGAGAAGTTCCAGACTTTACGTCAACAAGAGCAGAAATACTTTGATGACATGGTTCAAAAATGCAAGGTAGAGATCTAATTTGGAACTTATGAAATTTCATTGTTTCAAGATGAAACCTTTCATGGCTTCAACTAGAAAGCCAGAATGTATGACTTGTTGCCCTTTCATATATTCTGCTTTGCTTGCTATTGGTCTTCATGTTTTTATTTTATTTTATTTATTTCTTTTGCTTTAATGATGGCATGATGCCCAACTTCTTTTCTGATGAGCTAGTAATTATGAATGCTTATATAAAGTCTCAGGTCACTTGATTTTAATGTTAAATTACCATTTTTTTACTTGACCTTTTACTGGTGCCTTACTTTTTAATTTGATTTCTTGCAGGATGTTGGTGCTACCCTGGTTATATGCCAGTGGGGGTTTGATGATGAAGCAAATCATTTATTGATGCATCGGAACTTGCCTGCTGTACGATGGGTTGGTGGTGTAGAATTAGAGCTTATTGCAATAGCTACAGGTTTGCATAAAGTTAGCGCTTGCTTCTCTGGTATTAGACTATTATTGGAGCTAGCACATGCTGGCCTACTTTTTGCACTGGGTGTTTGCTGATTGTTTGGCTGTTCATGTAGGTGGAAGAATTGTACCAAGGTTTCAAGAGTTGACACCAGAAAAGCTGGGGAAGGTACATACATATTAAATGATTGGCCTTAGATGAATATGATTGACATTATTCATTAAAAGAAAAAAGGTACAATAATGAAGAACTTTCATGTCAGGAGTGCAGGACTTCTACTTTGTAGAAGGCATATATATAGTGAAAAGTCTATATCACATAAAGTTATATAGTATTTATGATCTGTGGATGGAAATCCATGTCCTAGAAAAAAGCTTTAATTTTTCCTTTTTTTGATCAACAGAAATATTCATATGTTTTATTAACATGGTGTATGAAGACCCTACTGTTCCACATTTTGTGGGATGGAGGTAATAGAAGCTTCATCTCTGGGCTGACATGCCCCCAGGCCCCAGGTCTGGACTCACCAGATAATGTCTTGAGATCCCCTGCCTAGACAGGCATTTACTTGGCTGGTTGCTGTTCTTGGAGACCACCTGGATTAGCAGGTTGGGTTTTCTGATAGAACTTTTATTTCTCTAATCATAGATCTGACAGTCAAAGAGCCATTTGATCTATTACTGATAAAAAGAAGGGCCATCTGACCTTAGGGAGTGCCAACCAGTCACTATTTGACATTTTCCTTCCATCATCAAGTCATTCAACCCCAGAGATAAAAGCTAGTTTCAAGCCTTGCCTTGGGAAAGAGCTACAAGTTTGGATTTAGAGATACCCTTCATCGGCAGGGACTGAGAAGCTAAGTAGGATGTTTCCAAGATGATCTCTAAAACCCCATCAATATGGTCCTGTTTCTCTAGGCAGCAGCCATCAAAATTTGTTTGCCCATCTCTAGTTCCACCCAAGGAAGATTTGCCAACATTTTGTGCCTCACTCTCAAAGATTCTAGCATTCCTTTCATGCTAAATGCCCAATAGAACTTTTGCTCTTGTGTGAGTCAGGCTTTGTCTCTGTCCCAGAAAAGGCTAAAAGCAATTATTCATCTATTGTGCGGCAGACTGGCAAATCTTGATTTCGTTTTAAATTGATTCTTTTACATTGACTGTCTGTGTTGGACAACATTTCCCCATGGCATCTGTTCTGCGTCTTTGGGGACTTCTACTTCCATATAATCATGGGATCATCTTGTTTCCTACATCATTTTTTTTTTGATCAATAACACTTTCATTAATTCATCAATAGAAGATTTACAAAAGGAAGACAAACACGCTTATCTTCCAAGAGCAACAAAGAACCTCAAGAAAAGGAAAAAAGAAAGAGAAAAGAAAGAAAACACACTAAAGTTACAGCTTGGCCCAAAAAAGTGAATCCCTTTCTGCCCCTTG